GCTCTGTCCCATTTTAGTGAACTAAAACTAAGGCTTAGATTTCTTTCAGGCTAGTAGGAGAACCTGGCCCATGCCCACAACCCCACTTCTCTCAACTTCAGGTAGACAAATGTGAAGACCAAGTCTCGGAAGTGACTTGCCTCATAGTCATCTTCAATAACAAAAAGAAAAGAAAATCTCCATTCTTAACAGGAATAGCCTCGTGTGTGTGTGTGTGTGTGTGTGTGTGTGTGTGTGTGTGTGTGTGCTTATTTTCTAACTATTTTATCCAGTGAATTAGAGAAAATAATTTTGGTTATTTAGTTATTTAATCCCCAACTCCTTTAATGTAGGGCTGATAGGCTTGATTTTCAGGGTTTTTCTTTTTTCTTTTTTTTCTTCCATTTTTGGCTAGCTAAATAGAACAAATGCATGACATCCCAAAACAACCTTTTGCTATTTAAATCACTAAGCCAAGGCCTCATATTATTATTATAAGTAAATTACTGAGTACAAAAAATTAAAAGCTTGGCAGTAGAGTTAGTTCTTCTGCTTAATTAGTAGGCAGTGCAAGTAATTTAATTTTTTGTTCAATTCTAAAGATATTTTAATATATTTACCCTAGTGCTGTGCAATGAGATAAACTGAGATTGTTCTGATAATGTCATGATTCTGATGGGAGACTGTCACTGGACAGAAACAATACAAGCATGTTCCCAGTCTAGTCCCCATACCCCGTGTGCTCTAGTCAGTTAGATGACCTTTAAGGAACTTAAGATAGTCTGCACATCATTCGTTTCTCATCCTCTGTTTATTTTCACTTAATTTGAACATACCAAGGGAACTCTACGGGGTCTCTGTGCTGAGTCTCATAGCCATGAAATGTAGATGATCACAGGAGCCTTTAAACTCCCTTCATCTATGACTGACCAAATGGAGACAGAATTTCAGAATTTTGTAATCCACAATCTCATCATTTAGCTTTAAGAACAATGTAGCAGAAATCAGCTTTCACAGTCTAATTTGCCCACCAGCTCTTGGCCTACTGACATGTGCTTGTACAACTCATTCTCTCCAAGATTCTGCTTCCCCACTCCCATGCTTGGGAACAGATACGGTACTGTAGTTACTTGCTATGAGATTTAACTGAGATACTGTCTTCAGAGTTTGAGCTGGTGCTGGCTGGAGGTGATTGGTGGAGAAAATATAGAACTCATTTCCCATATCTGAAAAAGCTATTTGAATACAAGATATATGTTAGCATCTTTGTATGACATCGTTGTCATTTGGTAAGAAAGGGAGTTTGGCAAATCATAATCCACCATTTCCCATTTAGTTGTAAAACGCTGCAATTTGAGAAATAATACAAAGTTCCAAATGAGAAGGGATAGTTAGATAAAAAGATAGTGAAAGACAGGAATGTATTTAGCTGTGATTCCATAGTTATCTATGTTAATAATTATTCTAATGTTAACTAGAAAGGCCCATGAAGCTGTGGACCAAACATTAACACGCTGGTGTTTGTGGCATCTTCAGTCAACATCTGTGATCAAATAAAGGCCAGTATTTGTTGTTTACTCAATGGCAGAAACAGCTCTAAGAGTTTTCTGTGGAAGCTCTGATATACTCACGTACACACACACACACACACACACACACACACACACAGAGAGAGAGAGAGAGAGAGAGAGAGAGAGAGAGAGAGAGAGAAGAAGAAATCCAGACAGAACATTTCAAATGAAATTATCCAATGAATGTACAGATCTCACAATTTAAAACCATTTCTTCTCTAATGCTTTTCCCTCCACTTTTACACTGCTTTTATTTCTAGTTTTTAAGTTTTTCACTTTAAAAATGTTGTATGTGTGTTTTGCCTTTATGCATATCTGTGTACCATGTGTGTGCTTAGTGTCTGCAGAGGCTAGAAGAGAGCACTGGCTCCATCATGTCAGTGCTAGGAATCAAGCCCAGGTCTTCTGGAAGAGCAGATGGTGTCAAACCACCTCTCCAGCCCAATACCCTACTAGTATTCTGAGTGTCTGAATGTTTAATATATAGAACTCAGAACACAGTTGGAATTCTAATATAAAAGTCAGTTCAAATATTTAAGAAGTTCCAATTTTTTAAATTATTTAGCACAATAGGATATGGATTCAAGTGCCAAATGCCATATACAGGAAGTTAAACAGATGACCATATTGTGTGTGTGTGTGTGTGTGTGTGTGTGTAATTTATTTATTTTTATTTTGTAATCATTGGTGTCTTGCTTGTATGTATGTCTACATCAGGATGTCAGATCTTGGAGTTATAGACAATTGTGGGCTACCCTGAGAATGCTGGGAATTGAACTCAGGTCCTCTAAGAGTCAGAGCTCTTACCCAAAAAACTATCTCTCCAACCCCAGATGACAATATTATAATGAGGCTTAAATACTGGCTGAAAACTCAGTCTCCTAAATAGAACTGATTTTATTCTTTACCTCATTCTCCTTCCATTTAGGAGACTGAGTTTTCAGCCAGTATTTAAGCCTCATTATAATATTGTCATCTGGGGTTGGAGAGATAGTTTTTTGGGTAAGAGCTCTGACTCTTAGAGGACCTGAGTTCAATTCCCAGCATTCTCAGGAATGAGGAATACTGAGAATTCAAGAACAATCGCAGTGGGTTTTTGATCCTACTGCACGTACTGGCTTTGTGGGAGCCTAGGCAGTTTGGATGCTCACCTTACGAGACCTGGATAGAGGTGGGCAGTCCTTGGGCTTCCCACAGGTCAGGGAACCCTGATTGCTCTTCGAGCAGATGAGGGAGGGGGACTTGATCGGGGGAGGGGGAGGGAAATGGGAAGCGGTTGCGGGGACGAGGCAGAAAGCCTTAATAAATAAATAAATTTAAAAAATAAAAAAAAGAATAAAATCAGGAGCTAGGTTCAAGATAAATGAAGCTCTAGCTGCTGTATAAGATGATGGGAGAGATGGTTTAGGGGTTAAGAGTGCTGTCTGCAATTCCTCAGGTCCTGAGTTCAACTCCCAGCAACCACATGGTGTCCTCTTCTGGTGTGCAGGCATACATACAGAACACTGTATATGTGATAAATCTTAGAAAAATGAAGATGATGGGAAGTTCAATATATGCCCCACATAGTCTGTGTTCTAAAACTACAGAGAAAACTTCAAGTTGATAAAATTAGTTTTAATGATAAGCTAAATATTGTACTTAAAATATGTTATTCCAGCATATGATCAGTATTAGAATTATTGAGATATTTTACATATTTCTTTTTCCTCAAATTAACTTCTGTTGATGAAAAAGCTTCTGTTTACCGTGATTACAATTCTTATGTTTACCATATACCAAGGGTTGTATGAAAGCATGTCATGGCTAAAGTAATCCAACTACCTATGCATTAGCTCACATTCTGAAGAGATTTTTATGGTAAGAACGTTTTAAAAGTCTCCCATCTTAAGCAATTTTCAAAACTGGAAGTGTAGTTATTAACTGTAGTCATTATGTTTCAGCACGGACTGATTCGTGGCTCCTTTCACATGGAGAATCCCTTGCCTTTCAACCACTGTGTTACCTATCCCAACCCTGACCACACTGAGATCCCCCCACCCCAGCCACCCGCCAGGGGACCAACCTCACTATCCACTTCTGTCTGTTCAGTTCTCTGAAGCTCTACACGGAAGTGAGATCCCGAGATGGTATTTAGCTTAACACAATGTCCTCTGGGTGTATCTGCTGGGTTGCAAATAAAAGACCTGCCTTCATTTCAACTAATCTCAGTTCAGAACCTCAGACCTATATTGGATCAGGGTATTGGTCTTCAGTACTGAGAAGCCTGGATTTCTTACATGTTTTGGATGTCAGCCTCTTAGCAGATACATGCATTGTAAATATATCACCTAATTACATTTTTCATCCTTTGCCCCTGTTGACTCTTTCCTTTGCTGTCTAGAAGCTTTGTGGTACAATATCACTATCAGAAGATACTTACAGAACATCTCTGTTTAGAATGAGAATGTCTACATGTTGAGCATTAATATCATCATGTAACTATTGATTTCTGTGTTGGATGAAAAAGATCTAGACAGAACAAAACTTGGACAAAAATCCAAGAAAAATCAATAGGTCCATGAGGAAATTCACTGATAGACATCAGGGTCTTCTTCAAGAGCTCAGAACTAGCTAAATGGAGTATCTTCAGGGTACACAGAAGCTACTGTTTAATCTAGGTACTGGTTAGGATTTTACAACTATTTCAAATGCATGAGGTGAAAAGAATCCTAAGCCCAAGATGGAGGTTGAGAATCCAGTCTTTCTTTGTGTAAGACATGGTCAAGTCATGTACCCATTTCCTCAGCTCTAAGCTGTTGTATTTCCCAGCAGTGATTTGACAATGAAATTAAATAATTTTGTTTAAGTTACAAATAAAAAAATAAACAAAAGGAATAGTGACCATATTACTGAATTAATTTGGGTTTGATAATGTGGCATCCACATTGTCGTTTGTGATTTAGAATCTACGTTAAAATTCCTTCATAAAATAATTCTAAGAAATAGGACTTTATTTAAATTATTGAATTGTTAAAAACAAATCTCAAAGAGTGATATAATTGTTGGGTGTATCTAATTGTCTCACTCTATTGAGTCAACAAAATTTCATTTTTAGTTCTACCCAAATGGTCAAGAGCTAAAGGAGAGACATATGAAGAAGATGGATTTATGTTTCTTACTGCACAAATTAGAAGTGAATTCAGAGAAAGCTATTTTGACTATATTATAACAAATCATTGTGTCAACATTTTACATCAATAAGACAACTGTTATCCTTTCTCAGGAGGCAGGAAAATTTTAAGGGTGAATTAATAGGTTGCATTGATAATCACTTATTCTAGGCTGGTTCATCATAAATATGAAGTTATCATTCATAAAAGAATAAATAATTGTATAGAATGGAAAATGCTCGAAAGTATTCAATATTTTCCCACAGCTGTGCATGATGGCTAATGCTTATATTTCCAGCACTCAGGAGATGAAGGTAGGAAGATACCAAGTTGGAAACCAACCCAGACTCTAAAGCAAGAGTCTCAGGCCACCTGGAGCTATATAGCAAGACCTTTCCGGAAGACCATATCAGTGAGTAAACTAGATTATCCCTAATCTAGACTAACTTCTTTGGAATTATTTGAATAAGCATATATCAATAAGCATGTCTATTGGATACACTGTAACATTTCATATATGTACATAATATGTAATCATACCATATGTGGGCCATTGGGATACCTAATACCTTAGGCTCTTGCCTCTTCTTTGCATTGGAAACATTCAATGTTCTCTATCTGTTCTGTGTAATATTCAGTTAATTGTTTTCAAATGTTGGATTAACGTTTAACAAATTTTTCAGGAAGACAGGCATGGTGACACAAATCCATAATCCTAGCAAGAGGGAAACTGAGGCAGGAAGAGCAGGAGCTCAAAGCCAGCCTGGGTTACATACTGACACTCTGTCTCGAAGAGAGGGAGGGAAGGAGGAAAGGAGTAAGGGAGAATGGAGGGAGGAAAGGAGGAAGTAAAAAGGGAAGGAGGGAGGGAAAGGAAGAAAAGGGAAGAGGACAGAAGAGTAGAAAGGAGAAGTAATTTTTTAAATTTTGTGTCCAGCCAGGGCTGTGGCGGTAGGGAAGAAAAAGTTTTATGTTTCTTATTTAAGGTAAAGCAGAGTTTACACTTGATTTAAGACAGCCACAGTATATAATAAGATTCAATTTCAAAGAATAACAATCAGGCAACGACACATTTAAAACCAAAATATATCTTTCCTTCTTTGGATTGGTTTTCTTAGAAGAATTTCTTTCTGAGCTAAAATATTTTTGTAGAACCTCAATATATAAAACAAACTAAAGCCATATTGTATGAGCTTAAGATAAATCATGTCATATTTGTTTCTTCTGATACAAAAATAACAGTGTGAAGACAGCTTTGATCAGTTAAAATATTTTACTTAGCTATAGGAGGATCACTACCTGTGAGGGTCTCATATCCCTGCTTGCGCTTTGGTGTGCATATCACTATAAACATGAATATGAACTGTTCAGAATTCATGACAGTGAGCAATTTTGAACAGAAAATGACAATAGTGATTTAATAGTGCTAATGGTATGACACTGTACTTCTTTTTTTGTTATTTTCTCTATGAAATTTTCACCCATGCATACAATGTACCTTGATTATATCTATCCCTGCCCCTTTGCTCTATTCTTTGTGCTCTTTATACATCCTGGTCTGTGATATTTCAATTCTCTTTGATGTGTGAGATCCAGGAACTTGAAGTAGCTACACAATGAAACTTGATTCAAAGTTTAATCCATAGGAATATCAAGAATTTGTTCAGACTTTCTACTATAAAACTGAGAGTCACATGAACCAAAAGGTAACTACTGCTTTTTTAATGGGTCAAATCTTCACAAGAAGATACCTTACAATACAAAGACCAAGAAGAGGGAAAATTATTTCACCAAGTCTAAATTGCAAAAAAAGGAAAAGGTAGTAAATTTGGCATTGATGTTCATATATATACACATATACATACACGTGTCTCATTTCTTCATATATATACATATATACTGTGTGTATGTTTATCTTTATATACAGATATATAAAATTATAAAAATCATCCAACATATGAAACACAGTCTAATTATCTGATTAGGGAAGGATTAAAACTAAAACATAGGATAATAGTACTATTTAAATTTGAAGGAATATGATCTGAGTAGACCTACTTTAGGGTCACATATTATTTATTATGATGTATGACAATGATAGTCATTATTTTATATATCATTAAGATAGGCAAGCATATTATAATAGCTTGGATAATTAGTAACACAGACGCCTGACTTGTTACTATCAAAAATAATCTGAATGAAGGGGAAAACATCCTTCAACAATTTAAAATTAAAAAACAAAAGGAAAAAATGAAATAAACTTGTCACAAATTATTAAGTAATAGCAAGAAACACAACATATTAGAAGTTGTGTGTGAGTGTGTATGTGTGTGTGTGTGTGTGTGTGTGCGTGCATATGCATATGTATCTAGTGGTTATCTAGGATTGATGCGTTGGTGTTAAAAACTCAGTAGCTAATCTGCAGTCAATTTAGGCGTGTAGAATCTTCACTGCCAAGTTCAGCTATATAGTGAGATCTTGACAAAACCCCCAAGACTGGGAATCTTACTCAGTGGTAAAGCATTCATGTACAAGAACCTGGGTTCAACTTACAAGTGATAAAATGGACAAAATTTTAGGAGACACACCTGACTGAGAACTCAAAGAGATTTTCGTCAATTAAAGGATTAATAGTAAAGAATGTGGGTGAAACAATAACATTGGGTTAAATAGGCTTGAAGGCAAGAGAAACTTACGCAGAAAATCACATTTTAATACTAATCTTCAGCAGCCTTAATTACTAAGACAGTATCAAACTCTAAACTATGGTGTACCTGAAAGCTGCTTTGAGCAGCTGGAGGAATGGCTCAGTGGTTATGAGCACTGGATGCTCTTCCATAGCACAAGAGTTCAATTTCCAACACACACGGTGACTCACAACTTGTAACTCCAGTCACAAGAGATCTGGCACTTTTTTTTTCTGGCCTCTGTGGGCACCACCAGGTATATGTAAAGTGCACAGACACACATACATGGAGAACATATATACATATAAAAATAAAACACATAAAAGATTTTAAAGGTGTAACTACAAAACACATAAAGTAGAAAAAAATGACAATTACCATTTGGAAATAAGTTCACCATCACAGGTGACAATGATAGCTCATTTACACATGGAGAAAAAGGTGTAACTGGCTACTAAACATTTGAACAATGTCATTAACAATCTTAACTTGATATATCCAATCACAATATAGCATTCAAGATAGGACACAGCACACCTTCCCATTTCCATGAATTTGTCTCCTCTTCTACTCTCATAGATACCAGAAGTGGTGAAAAAATGATGGAGGTGCAATCAACTCTCATCACACACATCTGGCTAGCGCCTATTAGAACAAAAAGTACATGGTGCCCCAATTCCATGATAAATAGTCCAATTTCACATTCTAGGAAGCTAAAAGTGGCAGCTAAAACTATTCAAAACAGAACAGATCCCATGTAGGCGAAACAAACTCTTCTCAGTGATTGACCCACTCTTCTGCCCCTAGGAAAACCAAGCAAAGAGGGACAGCATCAACTCTTTGTGGACCCATTATGACCTTTCTGATTTTAGTTAGACAGACAAGTATGTCTGGATTTTAAGCAGATAATGCTGAAGTTAACCCCTCATTATCACCATGTTCAAAGTACTGAAATGGATCATGCATGTTAGGGGAAGGCAGTTGTGTTACAAATTCCACACCTAGCGAGGTGTTAACCTGACCCACAATGGCAGGCAAAGAGTGTGTTCAGACAGTTCTCACGCTTTCTCAAAATGTATGTTGCTTTTTATTAATGTCTAGATAGTTAAAGTACAGCTGAAAACAAAGCAAGGATGAAAATTACTAGATATTGAAGGGCAGCACACAGAGCACTGTTAAAGTAAGTCTTGTGACAGACACAGAAACTGAAATATTTCAACAATAGATATTGTCTATTAATGAATTTATTTTATCTATCACGGACATATCTCTGTTATAAAGTCAATTATCTCCAAAATATATATCAATAACCAATACAAAATGCAGTGCAAGTACAGTGTGGTCAAATATAATGCACAGCAATACATAGTTAACTTTCCCACTGAGATTTGCCATGGTTTTTATTAATTCAACAAATATTGTTAATATTCCTACCCAGGTCAGGTACAGAGTAGACACTAGAGACATGACCATCATGAAACAGATAAAATATTTTTTAAAAATGGTCATTATCCCTAGCAATGAAACAAATGAAAATTAAAACTACTTTGAGATTTCAAAGTCAGAACAGCTCTTTAACTTTTTATTATTTTTAGACAACGACCAACAAGTGCACGTGAGGAGGCATCAAAGGGTACCAGCCACTAGGGAAATCACTGTGAAGAATCCTCCAAAAACTAAAACTACATCTACCATACGACCCAGCTATACCACTCCCTGGTATTTCCCCAAAGGACCCGACATTACTACAAAGATATTTGCTCAGCCATGTTCCCTGATGCTCTCTTCACAATAGCTAAGACATGCAAACAATCTCGTTATCTCTGAATCAACAACTAGAAAATGAGACTGTGGGATGAGTTCATAATGAAGCCATGTTCAGCTGTAAAGAAGAATAGCGAGACTTTAAAATTTTATCTAAATGGATAGAACTAGAAACTACTATATTGATTGAAGTAATCCAGAAAGACAAGCCTGAACGTTCTTTCATATTTGTGCGTTCTAGATTTGAATCTTTGCATATGACTACAAATTCTAGGGTAACCAAAGAAATGTGGAGATACAAAAGGAGCTACTGGGGAGGGAAAGAGGAAAAAGGAGCTCTAGAGAGGGAGACAGCAGGGTACAGGTGCTGTGAAGGGGCGTGGGGAGGGAAACAGGAGGGCAATGTAACTAGGGAGAAGGAAGAGAGTTTAATAATGAGAGGGAGAGAGGAGAGATAAACTACACTGAGGATGTTTGGAAAGGCCAGAAGGAAACATTTTTGTAAGCAGTTTACTTTAAATATATACTTATAATAAACACACACACACACACACACACACACACACATATATATATATATATATGTTTCATATCTATTAAACTACATATGTGTATATCACAACAGTGGTTATTGAGGAGATCATGAGCTCCATGAGGGATGGAGTGGGAGAGGGGAGGAGCTGGAGGGAGGAGAAGGAGCAGTGGAAATGATGCAAATACAGTGTGCTCAGGCATGAAATTTCAAATAAATCTTTAAAAGACAAGATTTCTATTTTCCTGGCATTTATATTCTAATTCAGAACACAAGTAGCATCGAGTTACAATCATGAATGATGAATCAATCAGTTCCTCACAATGCCAAGTTCCGTAAGTAAATAAAGTAAGACTGTGCTACGTACAATCTCTCAGCCTTCATAACACTGACATTTGTGAGAGACTATTCTTTGGAGAGCATTTC